GCAAAGCAAAAACTTTCAGCTGCATTTTTGTTTGAAGTCGTTGGTGGCTCTGTTTGTGTAAGACCGCATGCATCCAAACAGTCTCCTGACCTTTGACCTTCCCTCTGATTTATAGGAAAGAAATAGAGCCACTAATTACAGAACACAACAGAAGCCATATTTGCTCTATAAATCCTTTAGTAAATGTAATAAGTGTCTGTACTGACAGCATTTAGTGTGTGAAGGAGTTCCTAAATGTAAAATAAAATGCTTTGGGGTCTTTGGACTTGATAAAACGTTATATAAGTAATAAGGCCATTTAGAATTAACTATCATCAGGAATGTCTGCAGGCTCTGCAGGCTTTCTTTCCCTAATTAAATATGAAACAATATAGAAGCTATCTCCAGAAAAATAAAACAGTTCCTGTGTAAATAGTTCCTGTGAGAGATGAACATAAAAATCTAAAAGTTGGTCTTTATTTAGGCATCAGCGTGTCTCTTCTGTCCCGCTGATTTCCTGCTTTGATATGACAACGTTTCAGATCCTCAGAGGCAGAAGATAAATCCAAGATAAAACATATCAAAACATCCAAAAAAAGGAAACAAACTATAAGTGAATAGGTCCTACCAGCGACCTCTTTAATTTACTTTTATCTTTGTTTTATCCTTTTTAGTCTTGTATATTTATTTAATATTATGATTATTATGACCCACTTCTAAACAAAGCGTTATATTTTCTCCACAGCAGCAGATGTTCCTTTAGGCATTATCTCCTAAATAATCTGAGGTACCAGTTATCTGAATCATATATGGGTCTCTCTTTCTTTTTAATCTTCTGTTTTGTTTAGCCCCATTTAATCAGAGATGGGAAGTAACGAAGTACAAATATTTCAATACTGTACTCAAGTGGATTTTTACTTTACTTTACTACTTATTTTTATGGTGACTTTTTACTTCTACTCCTTACATTTTTACACAAATATCTGTACTTTCTACTCCTTACATTTTAAAAAATTGGCTCGTTACTTTAGTTTTGAATCATTTCAATGGAGTTACCGTTATTATTTTTCACGTCATCAATACCAAATTCAATCTAATTGGATGGGAATCTACGTTGCATTTGACGCACCACTACAAGATGAATCGACAGATTCGGCGGTATTCATTGGCGGCAAATCATTGCAGCTTGGTGGCGGTGGCGTTAGCATAGTAGACGACGAGATGATTGAAAATGAACACAACGGAGATCTAGTCCTATTTGGCAGACATCCATTTAAAATGTAGGCAACGGCATGAAAAAAGTGGTTTCTACTTTTACTTTTATACTTTAAGTAAATTTACAAGCCTGTACTTTGTTACTTTTACTTGAGTAAAGAAGTTTAATCAGTACTTCCACTTTTACCAGAGTATTTTTTAACACAAGTATATGTACTTTTACTCAAGTACGGAAAGTGAGTACTTTTGCCATCTCTGCATTTAATGTATGGAGGCACCAAAACCTGCTTTTAAGAAAACATCACAGCAGGATTAAGGTCTTATTTACTATTAGATTCAATTAAAATTAAATATATTTATTGTTGGCAGATTTTATAGAGTCTGCATCGTTTTCTTTTTAAAAACTGCTTTATTGAGGCCCGGCCTACATTTAAATTTCATGGAAATGTCATGGTAATTCATGTAATTATATTTTATGCAAACCGTTGTGGTAAAAAAAGCAAAAACAGCATACGCCTTTAGGTGTTTTAAATTGAGATTAAAACACATTTCTTTATAGAGGCCTTTAATTGAGCTACACTGCTAAAACGATCTAGAAATAAGCTAAAATTTCTTAAAATAAGTCTATTTCCCCTTAAATTAGGTAGTAGTAGTAGGTAAATAACATGATTTGCCAAACAAGATAGCATTTTTAGTCTTAATATAAGATAATTAGATATAATGCACTTGAAAAAAACTTGAAAAAAATGCACTTGAAATACAATACAATACAATGCAATTGTTTTTTTCTTATTTTAAATGTAAATTGTCTTGGCAAAGTATTTCACTTACTTCCACTTAATTCAATAAAAAAATGACTTATTTAGATTTAAATTTTTTGCAGGTTATTAAACATTATTAGTTAAGCCTTCAGTCCAACTTTCCTTTGTTTTTGTCAATTATTTTATCTTTTTTTTCATAATATTTTATTAATTCCCTTTAAAAATGTGTTTATGCCACTAGAATGTGCTTTTCCTTTTATCATGTATAGCACCTTGACTTTTCTTGCAATTGAAATGTTTTCTATGAAAAAACAGTAGAAACTTTTTCTATAAATAAACTGTAGGTAATTATTCTGAGGTCCAAAATGGTCCCCTGGTCCACTTTTGGATACACCTGATTTAGATCAAAGCATACTGTATCTAAATCTGCAATGGAGGTTATATTTTGTTGGTTTGTGTTTTCAAAATAACTAAAAATGTTATGGACCGATTTAGCTGAAATTTTCAGAGATGGTGCATTTTGTGATCAAATGGTCACATTTTAGTGATGATCCAGATCCCCTTATGGATCCAGGAAATATTTGAAAGACTCTGTGAATACAGACGCCTACTTAATAGGGAAGTCACAGTATGTAGTGCTTTTGTACATGTTGGCAATGTCCAGTTAAAGTCCAAACATAAATCGTATTCAGGATCTTTACTGATGCCCTGCATCTTCAGCTCAGTGGGGATAAATGCACCATGATTCTTAAAGTACTCAGTGAAACCTCCAAACTGGGTTTCAGGTTAATTCTTTAACCTTCAGCTCTTTATTCAGTAATTTCCTTCAACAATATTCTCAAACATTAATCCTGACCTTTGCAGCTCTGCTCTCATAAATATCATCCCGTTCCACCTGGGAAAGCAGATCTGATCCGTAATCAAGGATCTAATTACCTTCTATCAGTGTTCTGTCCTCCTCCACATACCTTATGTGCTCTGCTCTTTCAATCTAAGTTAAGAGCTCCTGCAGCAACAAAAAGTGTAAAAAGAAACTTTCCCTCTCGTCTTAATCCCCTCTTTGGATCATCTGTTGCAAGTTTATGCTTTAAACTTCTAGGACTCCTTAAATATTTGGGGAAAATCTCAAGCGCCTATTATTACTGAGTCGTAGCCTGCATTTAATGCTAGTAATCTATAACTGCACTTTTAAAGCAGTGCTAAGGAATTTTTAGTTTTGATTGATTTTGGTTCTGTCCAGATGACAGAAGCTGTATTGTTTGCCTGAGGGAAGAAAACATTTGTCTTTAGGATCAACGTAGGGAAAGCCATAGCGCCGTAAAATCCTTATCTTCTGCCTGCACTTTGATTAAACAACCTATCTGTTTCCGGGGGCTGTATGAAAGATTAATAGTGATGAGGTAGTTAATCTAATGGTGAAACAATGTCACGATAATCAAAATAAGAATCATTTAATTTTGGTGTTGTCCTGCTGTATTCCTGCACCCCCCCACCCCCCCCCCCCCCCCCCCCCCACACACACACACACAAGCAATGATGTGCTGACAAGTTTAGAGCCTTGAAACAGATAAATATTATAATCAAAGCAGGAAGTATCCCTGCAAAATGTGCAAAATTGGTCTCTAAGGGAAACTTAGATTTTGTCTGAACATCTGCCCTTTAGATCATTACCATTTGGATCATTTTAGATCAGTGCCCGAATGTCTAGTGGACGAAAAAGTAGTGGACTTGAAATTTCCCATAATACACCCTGAAAAGTAGTGATTATCAATGGACACTAGATGAGCAGATATAACCCAGAATGCTTTGCTTCAACTCTCCTCGCAAAGCATCATGGGATTTGTTATGCTGGCGACTGTCACTACCCGATCCGTCCCCGAAGCACGATCCGTTTTGCGCCTGCGCCATCGGCTCATTTGCGCATCCAGATAGACACCTGGGTCACCCTCGATTTTATTTTGTTAAAAAGACCCAAATGACGTAAGCAAACTAAAATATAATGTGTTAAAGGTTAATAATCTATTTCCTGAGAAATTAAATGGCTGAAAATCCTTTCTGTTTTATCACTCGTCTCTGCCTGATCTGGGCTCCTACGTTACTTCCAGGAGCTAACTTTTTCATCTTTGGATTTAAACATAAATCTAGTCTTTTTGAGCTTAATGTTTTCCTTTCCTGTTAACATGATGGTATAGTGCATAATCTAAAAAAAGAAACAACTACAATGCAGATAAACATGGTTTAATCATATATTGCCGGTCTGCTCTGAGCATGTCTGATGATGACGTTGGAGAAGAAGTTTAAAGAAGAAAACGTAAAAAGCATCAAAATTGTCTCACAAAAGTCATAAAACATTTTTTAAAGATGTTTATTAGCATTCTCTAGTTAGTTAAGGATATAAATAAGTAATTTTAGTACATTAATTTCATTATTTATGGACAACCAGATGTATATCTGTCTTGCATGAGCAGGACGGATCAAATAACAAAGATGGGCCGCAAACCGTGTGCGGGGAGGCGGAGTCACATGACTAACGGGGTGCAAAAAGTAGAGATCATCTGTCCAAATGGCCAGTTAACTGAGCTCACTATAAAGTCCACTACATAGTCCCCGCTCTATATAGTGATTGTGTAACGAACAGAAAAGGGGGAAGTGACGTGTGTTTTAAAGCATGCTGGTGAAGATTCTCTTTCATCCAGGTCTTAGTCATCCCAGAAAAGTTAAAAAAGAAAATCCACTGGACTTTGTTGTAAAGCATATTTGTATATTTGTAGTTGTTTTGTGCAGCAGGTTTACTGCCACCCTCCTCAAAGTCGCTTGGTGCTGTTGAAAGCGGTACAGACCCCTGAGGTCTATGACAGAGGGGTCATTCAACTATAAGTCGACATATAATCTACAACTTAAATATTTTATGAAGGCTGAAAAGTTGCTTAGTGTTTATTTAATGTAACTTGGTCTGTTAGCTGCTGATTTAAGGAATGTTGACATTTAGCACCATAATGGATTGAAATGAAAGACACTGTTGCCCTCTGTTGGTTTTGTTCCTAGACTTATTCATCGAGCGGTTTTGTATGACCGGAGGAAGCAGTCCGATTGGTTACCTGAAGGCCTGGCAGACCAACCTCTACCTGTCTGCAGACGCTGAGAAGGTCAGGGAGGCGCTGGCTGAAGGTGAGCAGCTGCTGATATGTTATAAGGACCTGTTTGGTCTACCATGTTTATAAGAAAAATGTGGAACATTAACAAGAATAAAAGAAGCTAAAGAAGGATAATTCAAATTTATTGCTTTTTTCTAATGACATTATGGGAAATCTTTGTATGGGGTGATTTTTTTAAACTTTACTGTTGCAAGAAAAGAACATGTTTTATAAAAAGAAATTATAAAAAGATGCTGTAGCAGCTCCCCAGCACTTGAATTAATTTGCGCGGTCTCGACGGGTGATTTCCAAGGTTTGTTTATTTTTCTTTGATGTGGACCATCAGTCATCTCAATCATCTTGCATTACCTCAGTCACCGTAATCACCGTGAAAACTAAACAGATATACAAATATTAGAATATAAACATTAACTTACAACACACGCTTTCACCAGGGAACGCTAAGTGTTGGTAGTGCCAAGCACATCTGACAGTTTGTTGAAGTCATTCATTGATACAATGATTTGCATGCTTTTATAAGGCCTGCCCTCATTTATCTACGGCAGCCTGTGAGGTACATAACAAAAAAAACAAACAACAAAAACAGCAAAACTTTACAAAGTGCAAATACAATTAAACAAACCACCAGTGCTAATCAAAACAGACAAATATTAAACAATCTGCAACATCCTTTAAATAATTTGCAATATATAGTCTACAAAAGTGAATAATTTAGGCAACTTAATTTAAATGGTTTACTATCCATTACAGATGCAATGTAGAAATTATCCTTTAAAAAACTTCCTAATTTAAAAAAGGTTTTGATGGGACCTTTGCTGTTTTCTCTCCTTTGATTTTTCTGAATTATTTCTTTTAGATTTTTTTTCACAAATTTTATACATTTAGTTGTTTTTTTTACTTCTCTTTCAGATTTAGTTTAACAAAAACAATTAATTCCACATTCTGTTTTACAGAATGATCACCTTCAATTCAAAGCCCAATAAAATGTTGTTGCTAACATCCAGCAAAGCAATAGAAATGCATCTTTGCTCCTCACTCTAGAAGAAAAACCGTCCCAAGGAGTAAGAAATAAAATAAAAGAATAAGAAATAAAATAAAACAGTTATTAGAAAATATGAAACCTGAAAAAAAATTAAACAAAATCTCAGAAAGCAGCAAAGGTATTCTTAAAACCTTTTTTATCATTACATTTTTTTCAAAGTTTCATTTATAGATTGCATTTATTTCTCTTGAATATTTTAATTTAACAAAAGGGTTTTGCTTTTGTTGTTTTTTCTTCTTTTGTTGTTTTTTTGTTTCTCTTTACAAAACATGTTCTTTGCTTGCAACAATAATGGAACAGAATTCCCTCCGTAGTGTTGCAGGGGGACTCTGTGGGACGCACTGCTAAAACCAACATAGGTTAACACTACTAAACCTAAATATAATCCAGAAGCCAAAAAGAGAACGTCTCCTCATGGGGACCAGTCCATGCTCCCTAAAAGTGTCTATAAGTCCCCAAAATGCAGCATATTCCAGGGAAGTTGTCCCCTCAGGGTTAGAAAAACATGGCCACACATAAAGACACAACATAGAGCCAAGCGGAGAAGGTGTGTTTGAAATTCTCCTAGAAAGCTTTTGCTTAGCTTTAAAACCTTTTTTTTAATATGGCTGCAAAACTGAAGTTTTAAAGGACTCTTTTTAAATCCATCCGTGTTAATTTAATCCATTGTGAATAGTTCTTTTCCCACAGAAAATACATTAATATGAAACAGAAGTGAAAGTGCTTTTTTACTGTTTTGGGTTCACAGCATGTGTCCACTTCCATGTACTGAAGTAAACACTGAACTATGCAGAAACACCGCCCACATGCTCCAGACCCCAGCATCAAGCCTTCGAGAACTTTTTGATGCATATTCATTATAAATTTTTATCTGTTCTGGTTAAAATAAAAATAAAAACATTGTTCATATCCTGTGAACAGCCTCATGGTTAAACCCTCCATGGCAGATTTAGGTTAAAGCAGTCATTCACATTTTCCAAACTTTTCTCCTCATTGGACGGGATGTTGATTATTCAGAATAGCCCTGCCAAAGTTCCCACTTGAATAGAATACGTAATCTTTTGGGGGAGCAAATTGTAAAATTAAAGGTGGAAAAAAAACAAACAAATAAACCTGTTTAGGATCACAGATTACATTTTTCTACCTTGAACTAAAATGAAAGCCTATAATGTGTCACTTGTCTTTCCGTATGTGTTCAGGGATCGCTGCTGCAACGATGTTCGTTACGGATAAGATCACAGAGGTGTCCGAGTCTCAGCTGAGAGTGGCATTTGATGGGGATGCCGTCCTGTTCTCTGACGAGTCTGAGCGCATTTTCAAAACCCACGGGCTGGACAAGTTCTTTGAACATGAGAGGGAAAACGAGGACATACTCCTGGATCACGTTTGTATAATTTTGTCTACATTCTCCTTCTGTGATACATCAAATGAGCCTTTAGAGCCTATAAAAGAGAAACCACTGATATCTCAACATTTGGCCAATTATCTGAAAATATAATATATCTATACTGTGGCTGAGAGGTGCAAACATGCAATAAACACATAAATGCGCAGGGAATACACAAATCATTGCAAATAGAGAAAAAGGGCAAACATGAATGTCAGCCTACAGTAGCCAAAAAAATAAAAAACACACAAAACACAATTAAAAATGGAAAAAAATGAAAAAACGGATTACTCGCCTTCCTCCGCCTATGACACAGCCAATCAGCTTTTAACCACAGCTCCACGAAAGCCAATCGGATTCTAAAGTTCATCTTAAAAGGCCTGCGATTAGACTCGTCTGCTACCTAGATGGCAGGCGGCGGATGCGCTGTGTGACTTCATTCAGATGACCCCGTTTCAACCCGCCTCCAGCCCCTCCTCCACCATAGTAGCTAAAGCTTCATCAGAGTGTCATTCCTCCTGGACTCTTACTGTCTCATCTTAAACGGTCCGGCAGAAGACCGCCATGTTGAGCCTGGTTCTACCAGAGGTTTCTTTCCAACGGGGAGTTTTTCCTCTCCACTGTCGCTTCATGCTTGCTCATCATTGACAGGTTCTCTCAACCTGTGTTATCCAACTGGACTTCCATCCTCCAGGTCCCTGAGTGAAGCTCTAGTATCAGCTCACTCAGTCCACCGGATCTCCCCATAAAGCTCAGCAGACCGTCTCGCTAACCAGCAGTCTACAGACTGACCAACTTCATCTATCTCCACTCCACCACCAGTTTCAGACCTGGGGGGGAAACAGCTCTGTTCTTTGCTCCTGTTCCTGCATATCTATCAAAATTAAGCGCTTTGTTTCCCGCCGAGGTCTGAGCGCCAAAGACTAAGTAATTATATCAATAAATTTCTTCTAATTGTCTTTTCTCTCCATGTGTTTTTAGGGGATTAAAATGTCTTCGTAAATGATGCCACCACACAAAACATATGCAAAGGAATAAATCTGCAAGTACCAAAAACTTCTGCAGGCCAAGTGAAAACACTAACAAAATACTCAAAAGATTAGAGGCCAGATCTTCAGAGGGATTGTGTATCTTTGTACAGCAGAAAGTAACTTTAAAGAAGATGCTAAGTGATTTGCATTCACAACATGCAAAACGACTTTCCAAATCTAAAACCCAAATGCAACTCTTTTTTTTTTTCATTTCTGAAAGTCAGGTGCAAAATCATTTGCAATTAGCTCATCTTATCAGGCAGAATCAAAACGTCTTAAAGTTTGTGGATCAATCTTTGTAAATCACATGCAACAGGCACATATGTTGCTTGCACAACATAATCTTTGCACATGCAAATTATACCCAGCATTTTTCCTTTGCGTGTGCTTCGAGTTTTCGTGAATATACCTCTTATATTACATACATACATATATTTGCAGGGCGTTTGCACCTCTCAGCCATGTACAGGATAATTGCCGAGATGAGGGCAACTATCCAGCCAATCAGAATCGAGTATACACCTAGAGCATAGTATAAAGTCCCTTAAAGACAATTTGATGGAAACCTTAATCTTTAAATGCATTATTTAAAGTGAGCAATATACTTAATGCTTTTAGGGAAAACTAAGTTTAATTGACATGTGGTAATTCAATTGATTAGCTATTAGCAAGTGTCTTTGAGCTGCATGTTAGAACAAAAGATCCTCAATGAATTATTTTCATGCGATAAAGTTGTCATTTCTTCTCCCGCTCTTCAGGGCCCCCTGAAGGGCTTCCTGGAGGCTCTAGGGAAGCTCCAGAAGAAATTTTATGCCAAAGGCCAACGCCTGGACTGCCCCATCCGCACATACTTGGTCACGGCTCGCAGCGCGGCGAGCTCAGGGATCCGAGCGCTGAAGACGCTCAGGGCCTGGGGGCTAGAGATTGATGAGGCGCTGTTCCTCGCCGGCGCCCCCAAGGGCCCCATGCTGGAGAAGATCAGGCCACACATCTACTTCGACGATCAGATGTTTCACGTGGAGGGAGCGGCAGAGATGGGCACGGTGGCTGCACACGTTCCGTATGGGATCGCACAAAAATACAGCAGGCAGCAGAATTCGAGCACAGGAAAGTAAAGAATAAAAAAAGAGAAAAACTAAGAACTTTAGATGACAGCAGAAAACAAGGGAGAAACATCTTCGAGTGGAAGAGAAGCTTAACTTATACTGTTAAATGTTCCTACTTTATATGGGCTGAGGTCAAGGAGAGGTCTGGAACCTGAGGTGACCTGAAAGCCAACATGACTGTCCCCTATAAAGATGAAAGCCTATGCTGTCTGCTAGAGGGTTTTAGGAAAGCCTGCCTCTTATAGGACAGCAAGGGTTAATTCACCATTACTCTTTAAAACGAAAGCTTAACTGACTCCAATACACTGAATGTAGAAGAACTATAAGCACAAACCAGACGTATTATATACAGGGTAAACCTATGATAGAGATTTACTGTAGTGAAAGAGATTTAGTAGTTCTGGAAAGTATTTTTTAACTAGGATTTCACAGAAATGTAAAGAAAAGCTGTAAATTGAATGTAGCTTATTTTGTGTGATTTTCCAAAAGCCATAAAATGCAGATGCTGCTTTAAGGGTAGCAGGGATTGTATGGAGTTCATTTTGATTCATTATTGTTGCAAGCAAAGGGAATGTTTTGCAAATGGAAATTTGAAAACAAATATTTTATCTTCTGAAATAAAAAAAGAGTCCAAAAAGGATTTGAGAGTAACTTTACTCTTTTACTTGTTTAAAATTTATTTGAAATGTTTTATTCTATTTAAAATTGTATTCAAATGTATTTTTTTAAACCTAAATTTTATATGTTTAATTTCTGAACTAAAAAATAAAAATTAAGGGGGAAAAAAAGTTGAAAATATAGAATCTGTTAAAAAATATATTCAAAATAAAAAAAAAATACATTTGAAGAATACATTTAAAAATAATTTTATTTGATTATAAAAAAGAAAACAACTCTTGAAAAACAGCAAAGTTACTCGCAGAGCAAGTTTTTTTAATTATTCCTGGAGTACATTTTATTTCAATTTACAAAATATTTTGGGGTTTTTGCTCTCATATTTCCCTTAAAAGATGCTGTTTGCTCGCAACAACATAAAACATAAAAAATAAACTTTTATAGCTTCCCAAAAGCTTAAAAGAAGGAGGCAACAGTAAAAGAAGGGGTTCAGTTTGACAGATCATGTGTAAACTTTCGACTTTGTGTCAAGGAAAAATAACAGCAACCTTTCCTTATGCACCACATGTCGGTGGCAGCATCATGCATGTGGATGCTAAATCAGTCACGTTAGACGACATGTTTGAAGCCATAGAAGACCTTAGGCCGAGAGCGGATTGACCCTTCAAAAGGAAAACAGCTCCAAAGATACAGAAAAGCCCCAAATTAGATACAAATATTGGTGTGTTTAAACAGGCTGGTAAAGATAAAAAAAATGTAGAATCTTGAAGGCTTGTTTATAAAAGCTCTCCTAATGTGCCAAGCTTTTGATTGGGCAGAAACATCAGTCTCTCGATGTGCAAAACTGGAGGAAAGAGAACTGAAGAGAGGAAATACCTACAAACCTACAAGTATGCTGCAAAATTTATATCAGAATAAGTCCAAATTTCCTGAATCAGGCGTATTTACTCTGAATTTCAGTAGGTAAATAAGATGATCTACCAATGGAATGAGTACTTAGCACTTAATTAGATCATATGCACTTAAAATAGGAAAATGCAATTATTTTTTCTTATTGTAAATGTATATAGTGTTGTTTCACTGGCAAAGTGTCTCTTACCTCCTCAATTCAAGACAAAATGCACTTATTTTAAGAAAAAAATGACTTATTTAGATAAAAAAATTTCCCAGTGTATTTACTTAGTAATGCTGAGTACACAACTGTGCCACAATGTTCATATTTTTATTTTTAACTTACCTTAGAAACGTTTCCCTCTTTAGCTTTTTGTGGCTGTAACGTAAAGTGAAGTCTAGCAGCTCTGATTAACAGCTGGAAAGCACTGTAACATGATGTACTGCACTGAAATGTACTTCCAATGGTTTCCTGGTACTATGCAAAAAATATTGATGTAGCTTTAGCCGTACCTGCACTCTATTAATATTATTATGAATGTCCTGATAGATAATTGTATTTGAAATGTTCCTGTATGAGTGCCTTCAGTATTAATGTTTGCACAAGATTTTACACCAAGATTAAAATTTTTTATGTATTATTTCTAAAAAGGTAAACAGACTAGAATTGCTTTTTTTTTCTTGTTTTTGTTTTCTAAACCAAGCAGAGGCTGAGGTAGATCTGCAGAAAACATTATTGACAACTGCATTATCATGGGATGATGTCAGCAATGTTTTTATATAGAGTGAATTTTGATCCATTATTGTTGCAAGAAGAGGTTTTGGGAGTAACCTTGCTTTTCTCTTAGATTATTTAAAATTCATTTTATTACAGTTTTATTATTGATTTTTTCCCCCCATTATTTCACACATTTTATATTTTTATGCTTTAAGTTTTTCAAGCTTTACTTTTAAAATTTTAATTTAGATATGTAATTTTCTTTTTTTTTTTTTTTTATCCTGTAGTTTCAGATTAACAAACTGCCTTCTTTTCAAATTTCTTTTATGGATCCCATTTTTTGGGCTAGGCCTTCTTCCTGTATGTTGCAGGAAAAAGGTCCTGGGTTTAAATTCCAGGGTCTTTCTGCATGGAGTTAGAATGCAATTTGTAAATCAAAAATGGAAAAACAGAAATTACTAATCTGTAAGAAAACTAATCATAGAAAATTTTGATAGAATAAAAATAAAAAAAAGAAATCTAAAGTATTATTAAAAACACAATCTGAAAAAAGTGTGAAGCTATTCTCAAAACATTTTTTGATTAAATCATTTTTATTTTATTTTTTCCCCAAGCAGTTCTACTCGCTTAGAACAAAAAGATACCAAATAGTTTGTTTCATTTGCACTCAATCGGGCTCATAGATTTCAAAATGTAAAAATGTAGTTAATATATTGAAGGTTGAAGATGAGTAAATGATAACAGGTGAAAAAGGGTGTTTGTACCGCTATATTTAGATAAAGATTTTGCTTTTGCTGTCAGCAGTAAAAGAAAAAGGAAGTTTTATCTAATTATTTTTATGAATAGTGTTTAAATGCACTTTATATATTCAATGATACAAGCAACATATTAAAAAGGTTAAAATAACGAAATTTTAAAGATGAAATATCAGTAATAAAAGCTGGAAGAGCTGACTGTGGCAGCTCAACCAGCAGTCATCAGACAGACAGCCTGGAAAGTAGCCACTGACTGGTTAAGCCATATTCAAACAGCTGGATTTAACTATACAGCCTCGTTAACCAAAAATAACGCAAACCAACATAGGCTCAGAATAATTTGATTGAACAGAACGATGCTTTTTACAGAGATTTTAAAATGAATGCTGAATATAGACAGATAAACTATTTACCAGTTTGTATTAGGTTCATTAAAGGTAAAGTGGAGGATGTTTTTTTTCCGGATGGATCATCAAAATAAGTGGTCCTCCTAATTGTCAATCATTCTGGTGATATGTTTACATCAGACTGTCCTACTGCTCATCCCTGTTTTCACTTACCGGTGGATAGTCTGATGTAGAGGACAAATCTTCTTTTGGAAAGTAAGCTGGTATGTACAACGGAGTATTAGGGCCAGGCTAGAGATTTATTTATTTTGAGAATAAAGTCATTAAATTATGAAAATAAAGTGGTATCGTTACGAGAATAAAGTCGTAACATTACGAGAATAATGTCATCATACAACAACCCTTTTCAAAAAGAAAGCTTCAAGCTCCGACCAGAAGATGACAGCCAACCAGTCCACTTTTACATTCTGCCCAATTTGACGCTGGTTTTAAAAAAATTTCTTATTTGTCAAGCCAGAGCCAAAGTATAACTTGATGACACATGATGCTCCACATTCCTCATTTTAGGGAAGAAAGTGCTTCTTGCAGGAGTTGTCATAAATACAACTTTAGGACTTTATTCGCAAAATATTAAAACTTTATTCTCGTAATTTTATGCCTATGCTCGTTGTGATTTTTTTCTCGTAATGTTACGACTTTATTCTCATAATTTTGACTTTATTCTCGTAATGTTACGACTTTATTCTCACAATTTTATGAATATTCTCATTGTGGCTTTTTTTTCTCGTAATATTATGACATTATTCTCATAATTGTACGATTTTATTCTCATAATTTTACGACTTTATTGTAGTAATTTTATTACTTTATTCTCGTAATGTTACGACTTTATTCTCGAAATAGAAAAAAAAAAATCTCTTGCCTGACCCTTATACTCTGCCGTATGTATGAGCGATGTAAACAGCAGTGGAGAAGGCGGGTCTTTTCAAAAGTTTGCAAAAATCCTCCACTATACCTTTAAATCACATGCCTGTTTGGCAATTACAGGTGCTGGTCATAAAATTAGAATATCATGAAAAAGTAGATTGATTTCAGTAATTCCATTTAAAAAGTGAAACTTGTATATTATATTCATACATTACATACAAACTCATATATTTCAGATGTTTATTTTGTTTAATTTTGATGATTACAAATGACAACAAATGAAAATCTCAAATTCATCATATCAGAAAATTAGAATATTACTGAAGACCAATAAAAACAAAGGATTTATAGAAATGTTGGCCAACTGAAAAGTATGAACATGAAAAGTATGAGCATGTACAGCACTCAGTATTTAGTTGGGCCTCCTTTGGCCTGTATTACTGCAGCAATGCGGCGTGGCATGGAGTCGATCAGTCTGTGGCACTGCTCAGGTGTTATGATAGCCCAGGTTGCTCTAATAGTGGCTTTTAGCTCTTCTGAATTGTTGGGTCTGGTGTATTGCATCTTCTTCTTCACAATACCCCATAGATTTTCTATGGGGTTAAGGTCAGGAGAGTTTGCTGGCCAATTAAGAACAGGGATACCATGGTCCTTCAACCAGGTACTGGTAGCTTTGGCACTGTGTGCAGGTGCCAAGTCCTGTTGGAAAATGAAATCTGCATCTCCAAAAAGTTGGTCAGCTGCAGGAAGCATGAAGTGCTCTAAAACTTCCTGGT